AAAGGAAAGGAAAGAAGTAACTAATTGATAATTTAATAAACTTATTTTTAGATAGAATAAATAATAAAAAAAGTAAAAAAAAAAAAGAATGATGATGAAAAATTGAAAGTTGTACTTAGATTTTTTTTTCTTATAATTAAAACAATATTGTACGATTGAAGCAATAGAGCTTTGGTTAGATTCAAGGTATTGGATTACACACTTGAAACGTCGTCTTATGCTTTTTCTTTGTTCACTTTCGTTAATCTCCTTTTTTCTTCTCTAAATTAATATTCTTTCTTTAGCTAAAACAGTAAAACACAGTACAAGAATAAACATAATGTATTATTAAGTGATTTAATTAATCAAAAACCACACTTTTTTTTTTGTTTGGTTGTCTACAAAGTCCATTTTGCTTCTTCTGATTTGCAGAGGAGCTTAAACGTGAAGGTATACGAGAGAAAGACAAATGTAAAAAAGAAGAAGAAACACAGAGAGAAAAGATTAGTTTAATTAATCTCTTAAATATACCCAAAAACAAATAAAACTAATCCTTTTCTCATCCAATCAAGTCTTCTATTACAATTCTCATTCTGAGGTTTCTTGTTCTTGTTCTTGTTCTGGTTCTTGTAATTGCTTGAAGTTAAGATTTTTGGCTTCTCTGTGTTCCAGATTTCAGCAAAAAATGGAATCGATATCGAGATTCTTCTGGGTTAGAAGCTTGGATCCAATCTGAAGAAGCTTTTGATTCTTGATTCTTGCCCCCATTTTTTCTGAGAAGATGTTTGAAGGTCGACCTCGTGATTCTTGTCTAGTTTCAACTCTTTTCACCATGCCAAGCCATAAAGAAACGAAATGGAGCTTTTTGGTTTCTGGGAAACGATCTTTTCTAAGCAGCGACGAGAACGATCTTCACCTCAAGAAGATGTACAAGCTCACTGATTCAAGCCAAGCTGGAGACAACGGATCTTCAGATTCGGGAACGCTTATCCCAGGGATGAACAAAGACGATTCCATTAGCTGTTTGATTCGTTGCTCTAGAGCTGATTACTGCTCCATTGCCTCTGTGAATCGTAGCTTACGTGCCCTGATTCGAAGTGGTGAGATTTACAGACTCAGGAGGCTGCAAGGGACGCTTGAGCATTGGGTTTACTTCTCGTGCCATCTCAATGAATGGGAAGCTTTTGATCCGAGGTCGAAACGGTGGATGCATTTGCCGAGCATGCCTCAGAACGAGTGTTTCAGGTACGCGGATAAAGAGTCTTTGGCTGTAGGAACTGATTTGCTTGTGTTTGGTTGGGAAGTGAGTTCTTATGTAATCTATAGATACAGTCTTTTGACCAACTCTTGGTCTACTGGGAAGAGTATGAACATGCCTAGATGTCTGTTTGGCTCTGCTAGTTATGGAGAGATTGCTGTTTTAGCTGGTGGCTGTGATTCGAGCGGTAGGATTCTTGATACTGCTGAGATGTATAACTATGAGGATCAGACTTGGTCGGTGTTACCGGGGATGAACAAGCGTAGGAAAATGTGTTCTGGTGTGTTTATGGATGGCAAGTTTTATGTCATTGGTGGGATTGGTGTTGGGGAAGCCAATGAGCCAAAGGTTTTGACTTGTGGCGAAGAGTTTGATTTGAAGACTAGGAAGTGGACAGAGATTCCTGAGATGTCTCCACCGCGGTCTAACCAGGGGAACGGTATGTCTGCAGCTGCGATGGCTCCACCGCTTGTAGCGGTTGTGAATGATCAGCTTTACGCGGCTGATCATGCGGGTATGGCTGTTAGGAGGTATGATAAGGAGAAACGGGTTTGGAACCAAGTTGGGAACTTGCCTGAGCAAGCGGGTTCGATGAACGGTTGGGGGTTAGCGTTTAGAGCTTGTGGGGATCAAGTTATAGTGATTGGTGGACCAAAGGCACCAGGTGAAGGGTTCATTGAGCTTAACTCATGGGTTCCAAGTAAAGCAACACCAGAGTGGCATTTACTCGGCAAGAAACAATCGGTTAACTTCGTTTATAACTGTGCCGTGATGAGCTGCTAAAGAAGCGAAATAAAAACCGCGAAAACCCGGTGTACCGGCATAGAGAATTTTACCGGGTGGGGGAAGATGTTGTTTGGATGTAGCCGTCTTTAACAGGGTATAAAAACACACAGGCTTATTAGTTTTAACAACCTACAAAAAAAAAAATTGTTGTTTCTGTAACTCATTGTAATTGTGTAGTTTCCTGTTGAATCCTATCTTTTGATCTTACACTACTTCAATGGATCTTTCTCTTTCTCTAATGATCCCAATCTCTATGCAATTACAGCAGCACAAATGTGGTTTTCTAAGTGTTGAAACTGTGTGTTATATCACATCTTAATTTGCAGAAACAGAGTAGACCACTAGTTTATTCTTGTCGTTTTGTGTATTTCATTAATTACCAATTTATTTATAAACTGTAGTGATTAGTATATATATCAGAAAGAAGAAAACATGAAAGTTATTGATTCAATCGAGTTTCCTACTTTTAAAGTCCAAAGTCTGTGAAGAATTTATTCACATTCTCAGTAGAAGCTGCATCAAACTCTCAAAAGCATATTTTTCATTCTGAGTCGAATCTTCAACTATTTGATTACGCTAAAGTACCAATGTATATATATATATATATATCTTTTAAAAATATCAAATATATTAGTGTCATTCAAGGTAGATGTTGTTTTTGCAGGAGGATCATATTCGAGTTTGATGATTCGATACAAATTACAAATATTTTATTTGACCACTTCAAAATTTTCTTATTGGTGCAGTGGGAGAAAAATAGAAATGAGCCCATGATTGAGGCATTAAAAAGTAAAGCAAGGTTTTAGTGTTGGTGGAGGTTTAGGCTAGTAGCCCATTTAGGCATTTTATCATTTAAATAGCATAATTAAATCTGTTATGTTGTCGTCTAATACGACTGTTAAAAAATCTAATCAATTTCAGAATTGCTTTTGTTGATTCTCTAATGTTTCTTCCACTAATGCAACATCAGCTTATAATTTCTTTAAAGTGAAAATTATAAACAAAGAATATTGATTTGCAAAAATGTTATAATAGATTCTCAATGTCATTGCCTCCACTACTGACCACTAACTCTTAAAGTTTAAAGTAAAACACCATTTCCAGATTCGAAAGTATACGTTAATACATAATCTTTTAAGTTGGAAAATATTTGTTTACAAAATTAACTTTTATAAGAACAAGAATCATATTGTCTATATTGTTCTTGAGATTACACATAGTCTTGTTATATGTCGGTAATATAAAGGATATCTGGCTTTATGAAAGAACAATTATGCCAAATAATTATGTGTTTTTGTACAGATTGCACGCAAAGTAGAATTATAAATTTTAGTTGTGTGGTCGGTCAAGAACAAATAATCATTTATAGAACAAGAAACTACTGAAACATATCAGCCCTTAATCGTGATTAATTACTTAAGATATATTATATATAATGGTACGACCTATATGCATATATTATTCTCTCGTAAAGCAGATTCAGCTGGCTCATTCTTATTATATATAGCTCATATATTCAAAGCAAAAATTCGTATATCGTTCTTGTGGGCATTTCTCATTTGTCTAAATATTCGCATTTTCTTACAATGAATTATTTTCTCAACTTTAGGTTTGGACCTTCCATTTTGGATATTTTCTATTTACGGGTTCTCAATTTTGAAATGACATTTGACACTGATTCGGGAATCTATTTTTATATAAATTGACACTTATCAATTGTTAAACCTTTAATCTATAGTTTTCCCTAATCCGATCCTATGTATAAGTAACGCCATTTAATTTCCAACTTATTTTTTTGGCCATATCAATTTCTCAATGAGTTGCTGATTAATTTTGTTGTTGTTGTAAGTTGTAACCATAAGCTGGTTAACAATTGACAAGTGCATTTAACTCAGGTGGTTACAACTACAACTAATACTATCTCTAGTCTCTAGTCTCTCTACTCATCGCGACTAAAGGACAAACAAACACATGGGATAAACTGTGTTTAGGTTAACCAATAACAAACTGTACTAAATGAAACGTGAAACCCCATATAATGTTTTTATTTAAATAAAGAGTTAAAGATAGTAAATGTTGCACATCAAAAAAATTATAGCTCGCTAAACTGAAATAGACAATTTTATTTTATATAGGCATCCCTAAATGTTTTAACATTATATACATATATATAGATAGATCATCTATCAATTATCATAGATGGTTGCATATACTTGTATAAAATATGATAATATTTGGGAAACCTTACGACGTACGTGATGTATATAACTCATTAATAATACAAACATTGCATGGTCGTTTGATAAATGAAACATATTAGCTATGATAAGAATATATGAAGCACCTAGGATGTATCTTCGATTTTAATGATTTATTAGATTCGACGAAAAAAAAATATTATACATCAGATTATACTTTCTGGTGCAAAATAATGCGATCGTCACATGAGATTGAAATTATTTGCATAACCAACACATTGTTTGGCTGGTCCACTCCCTCGAACGTCGTCATTATTGGTGGGCAAAGTATGTTAATAATGCAAATGCATCATTACTTGGTCGATGTAATCTGACGTACCCAGCCCATTAGTATTCTGTTTCTGTTACATTAACTTAACCTTTATTTCCAATATATACATATTTCAACATGTAAGCTATATTTTATAATTCTATGGCACGTTTGAAAATATAAGATATATATACAAATGTTGTCGCAAAAAAAAACTCAAGGGACAAATTGGTTAAGAAAAAGTAGAATTCAGTTGAGGTATCCAGCTACTATCAAATTATGTCCCACTTATTATTAATCATGACCTAATTAATATATATTATTTGAGAGTTATATACCAATTAATAGTTATGATACTATACCATTTTTGTAAATATATAAATAATTGTTGACAGAAAATATAAGTAATAGTTTTACTGAATTTTAAAATGATATCACTTTTTAATCATTTACAAAAAAGAAAAAAAATTCAAATACCACAAAAAATTATTTATGGGAGATTTTTTGAATATTTTATAACGTTTCATAGATGATTAAAAACTTTTCTTAAAAATTCTTCTCAAACTTTTCAATGGTATTTTATAAAATTTCCTTGTGATATTTCGTATTAATTTTTCTTCTTTTGTAAGAGTTGTTTTAAGAATAGTTATTAGGTAAGAATGTGAAATATCAGGGGGTGGTTTCAATTTTTGCATTTAGTAGTTGCAGCTAAGTTAGATGTTGTCAATTAAAAGAAGTGGACATTTTATTCTGGTAAGTTTTCTAACCAGCCGATATGAATTATTTAACAAACAGAGTAATCTTTTTTTTTTTTTTTTTTTTTTTTTTTTTTTTTTTGACATAACAGAATAATCAGTAATAGGCTTTGGTGTTACAGAGTTAAATATAACGTGATAAAGCGTCAAGTTGATGGTAAATGGTCTAGATTGTTCCAAACACGATCTTTCGCTTTCCAATAACAATTTGGGTTTACTTTTTTTTTTTTTTTTCATTTTTTAACAATAACACACTTCAATAAAGTATCTAATGTAAATAAAACAAGATAAATATAAACAAAATTTGACTAGAAGATTAGACGTTATGAGTTCATTTGATGAAAATCATATTATTATAATAATATGGTAAACGTAAACGTAATCTAAAGGCAAACATAAACGTTGGAGTGTGGGCAGCATGAAACGTCTTTTGTATTTCATAGCTTTGTTCAATCTTCACAAGAAACGAACGATTCTGACTCTTTTAATCAACTTTATTCCCTCCTTAATTACATGCATTGTTTCCACGAATACGACACTTTTCTCTTATTCATAAGAAACAAATTTGAAAAACCATAGAGTTCACCATTTTATATTATAATCTTTCGATTCAAAAATAGAGAAAATTAAAATAAAATCATTGCCTTACTACAAATAATCAATTAATTATTTCGTATAGCTTCGCCAAAACAAAAGAAGTGTGTCTTAAAAAATGAAATTAATTTCCATATTAAAAAAAGACATCCACTTGTTTCTTTTATATTGGCCTATTCTTCGAGATTTACGTTTTTTAAAACTTGGATAATTTCTACATGAAGAGCTCAGACTGTAGCAACGTGTAATAGTTAGCAGCTTCGTCTTCAAGCTCCCAAAACGCATCACCAAACCCATCTAACAAACTAGCTCCATAAACGTAATCCTCATTAATCTTTTCATAACTACTCTCGCAAAAATCGGTGTTAGGTATCCCAAGTTCGTCATCCGAAGCCTCCAAGAGATGCTGCATCACTTTCTCCTTGTTGTTGTCGTCTTCTACTTCTTCTTCCTTTGAGGAAACGCACGAAGAAGACGAGGAGGACGAGTCTTCTACGTTGAAAGTTTCAGAAACGACGCCGGTTTGTTCATCTGATGAGATTTCTTGCTGGAGTGCGTTTATAAAGGAGGTTAGGTCATTGTTGTGTTGGTTCTGTTCGTCTGAATCGTCGAGGAGACAGAGAATTTGGTTGTAAGAGGAAGAACATGATGATGGCTTTTGACGTTTGGTTGTTTCTTGTTCGGTTAGGGTTTCTTGTTCTCGGTAACGCTTCAATGGCGATACATCAGAAGTTTCAGCCATATTATCTAAAGAGAGAAAGAAAAGCTTTTAGAAGCGTGAGAGAGAGAGAAAATTGTGAAGGTGAGAAGGGAGAAAGAGAGTCTGAAACGTATATATAGAGAGATTATTTGGTCAAAAATAGCTAATATTTTATTTTCATGGTATTAAAGTAATATTGTGATTTGGTAAAATAGTATTTTAAATTGCTTCGTGCATCTCAGGAGGGAGAAAACATGTGAATGCTTTTTTTTTTTTCTTTTTTTTCGCATTTGTCGGAAAGAAATCTAAAAATATTTGGTCAATAATTTAAAATTTTTCTGATATGCAAGAGTAAATTATGGATCGTAGCTATTTTTCTAAGGCATGCAAAAGCTTTGGTTGGTTGTTAGTTGTTACATAAATTAAACGCATGATGCCAGGGAAAAAATCTTTAAAAATTTATGGTGATGATTTATTGACAAATAAATTTGTATCTATTTTATAAAAATTTACAATAAATTTCGGAATATGGATTGAGTGTCCAAAAAAAAAAAATCTAGATTCTAAAAAAGATATGTAGTATGGTCTTTAAATAAAGTACCTAATTTTAACAAATAATGAAATTATCAATGAGGTTAAGAATGCTCACATTTTCGTTTTCATCATTATTATTATATATGTTTTGTTTTTTTATTATTGTTAGAGAGACAAAAGAAAAAGAAATCTGTTGTCATTGAGATTTGGCAATATATTTGTGTTTTGTATCCGTCGTAGGATTAGCTTTCGAGAACGAGCTTGTAGATTACGAGGGCCTAATCGGACGGCTCTCGTTTCACGCCTTTGGATTGCACATGGTTATTGGCTAAAAGAGACGAGTCCTCATTGCTCTCACTTAACCCATATATACTAAACTAATCACAAGTGATCACAAACTCTTCATTGTTCAACTAATTTAAACAAAAAAATTATCTCAACGATCTTTATTGGGACTATCGATAGTTTTTTTTTTTTAACACATAATTCTGAGAACTACCAATGTCATTAGTTACCGACACCTTTTTAAGTTCTAGCTATTTACTACCTCGTGGTCATGGAAGAAAAGAAATTAACAAAATGTACCAAAAGTTATGAAACATGTTATTTATTATAGATGTGACGGTTTCAATTATATGTTTTCCATGTCTAATTGATATTGAAGATTGAAGTAGACGTTGTTTGTTATTTTTGTGGTTACCAATCAAATATTTTTCAGACAAACTATGCGGTTACGTGGAGATAGAATACAAAACACAAAACAAGTTGCAAAAAAAAAGAAAAAAAAAGACAGATGGCAATAGCAATTAGCCCATAGAATTAGAATAAAAATGAGATGAGTCCGAGTATTTAGAATATAGCTTATGGACTTAATATACGGTTCCATGTAAGCTTACGCAAGTGGGTTTATTTGTTCTCTTTCTTTTCAAGCACTTCTTCAAATCTTTGCTTTTCATATTTTTTTTTTCTTTCTAACTTTACTTTATTGGCCTGCTTGCCATTTTTTTAATAATGATAATGATCTTTCACTCGGTTAAATTATGTATTTTACGGTTCCCAAAATGAGAAACATAGATAATTAAAAAAACAACCTAGTGCTTTTAATTGACGATATGAATTGGGTTTACGTCTTTTATTTCATCCAAGTCTCCCTTTGAGCTACGTCAAAAACAAGATTAATGGAATCGACAACTAGATTACGTGGAGTGCTCCTCTCTTTAGGTTTCCTTTCTAAGGCTTTTACTTGTCAAGTGATCATATAGTATAACAAAAATATGAAAAATATATAAAGTTGTATATGTAAACGTCACTATTTTAATTAAGAGGATCGGAGGATGCGTGGTGCTGGTCCAAAGGAATAGCTGGTTGGGATGGAGTGAAAGGATTTTTCGCAAAGTCTTTTAGGTCCATCCATATCTTCTTATCCTAATAAAAATGTCTACTTTAAAATAATGCTTAAGGTCCATCATATGTTTTTTTTTATGTTTAGATGGTGTAGTTCTTAATTTCTTCTTATTATTGATATCTCAAATTCATTGGTATATATAGTACTTAATTATCTTGAATTAATAACTTTAGTTGATAGTAAATTTTCAAGATTTTGTCTGATATTAAAATGAAAAGTATGATATAAGGACATAAAAATGAGACTAACATGCAGAGTTAAAATTAAGTATTATTGTTACCTTTAAAATTTTTAGAACATTTCAATTCAGTTGTGATAATTCTTTTTCTAGGAAATTGACTTTGTTTAAAAATATTTTCTTTAAATATATAATTTTCAGCTGCGATGCATTTTTTTTTTTAAAAAAAACGTAGACATATGCATGTACGTATGCACATGGTCACCTCACCGTACACCAATTTTGTATAACATACATGTACGTTAACTAGTTCCACTTTCTCTCCTCAGCAGCCAACACATACTTTTATATTAATAAATAGGAATATTATATTCTGAAATTTAGCTGTCTAAGATATAAAATAAAGAATTTATAGACAAAAAAAAAAGATAAATATTTATTCATGTCGCAACTTTTGGTATTTCTTATATTTATATTTAGTTTGATAATTACAACTAAATTACGGCTCTTGGTCTCATCATCTTTTTGGTCCAAATAAAATATATTTTTAAAGCATTTATAGACACTGTTAAACAAAATTTCAGATCATTAACTTGAAATAATATAACCAATGCTGTAGAGTATATAGTAGAATGATAGTGTGGTAAAATTGGTCAAAACGAAACGAATGGAACATATGAAATAAACGGTGTGCAATTAACGATTCCCATAAAGAAAAAAAGTACATTATAAGCTTTAATAATTTTGTAATCACATTTAGATTAAATGAAAACCGTATATAACAAGTACCGCATTTTGATTATTTTATAGTCACCACACTTTTATAATTGTACTAAAAGATTACATGTTACAATAGAATAATACTAGTTACTAATTAACAAGTCTAAAATACGAATAATTGGAACCGTACTTTGCATAATAAAATAAACCAGAATGTTTGGGCCATTTCGTTGGTCTACCATGGTTGGAGGTGTGGCATGTGCATAGTGGTTGAATGGTCATGATACGCCATTATCATATCATATACCCATCTCGCAATATATTAGTGCCACCGTCGATTGAAAATTATTGAAGAGTGGTCGGTCCACTTATGCGATGTTCCACCTGTTCGTGACATTGATAATTCATTTTTGTTAGTCATATATCCCTTGATGAGGAGATCTAATAAATACTTATGTTTATTAATTAATATGTCATGTTAATGGTGGCGTCGACAAGTTTAGAATCAATCCCACTTTGGACCATTTTCTACTCTTCCACCAATAACACAAATCGTTTTCTAATTTATTGAGTTTTTAGTTAACAAATTTTGAGTCGGAGATAAGCTTGCATTAGATGTAATAGATTTGGTAGCTACAAAATTCATATGGGATCTTCAAATCCATTGAACTTGAATGAATCGAAGTAAAACAAAACTTATTCATGTTATAATGTTCATATGCTAAGAGTATTTGTGCATATATATCAGATTTTTCATTTCCGAATATATAACAGATTTAATAGAGGCAGTAAAGCAAATAATGTTCATGAGTTTTAATGTTTGAGCATATATATATTTGAGCACGAACAATTATAGAAAAGTTTTAGCCCCCGACATTGTTTGTGTTGTAAACTTGTAATTAATAATAGAATATCAAGTGGGGTGGTCTATACAAAAGGGTGGGATGATATAACAGTCATGATTAAGACAGCCTGATTATGTTTTAATTGATTAGAGTTGAGCCTAATTAAACATCACAATTCTACGGATATTTTTTCTTTTCTTTTTGGGTGTTTTGTTTATATGAATAAAAAGCAAAACAACAAACAAAGGAAAGCATCATGCGATGTCCGCAGTACGCTATCCACCATTTTGCCTCTCTTTATTTTATATTGTTTTAGTTTTATTACAACTAGACGAATATTACAATCTGGCTACTATACCATGACATGCAAAACCATGTCCATAAAAATGTCACGTTTTGGTCATACTGTTTCGAAAATGTTTAAATTCGTGACCATCCACATTTAAGTGTACTGTGCCTAAATGATCACATATTGTTGTGGTGGCCAACTTATGACCAAGTGGCTTTTAATATTGGACCATTGATCAGTTAGGCATAGATTTAAATGCTCGACTTGGCAAAATCAGTTAGCCTATCGACGAGGGTTACATGTATCATGTAATGGGTTTTCAAATTATTGTTTTGTTTTCCATGTCTGATGAACAACAAGACCTGATCATCATATAATCTTCTCGAGCTATGCGTGAGTGCAATACCATAAGACACTCATATTACGAGACGAAGAAGCAGATCTACCACTGAACATAGCATTTCACAAGATTGATGAAATATGAGAACAGTATATATAGTATCTTGGGTATTTCTCAAAAATACGTCATTAGAATCACACTAATTTTGATTTACATTCTTCTTTTGCCTACTTTCACTATATATGCGACGTTATAGTAGTGTAGTATTTATTTTGTAACTAGGAGATCATTAATTGAAAGGTTAGAGGTCGTCAGTACGAATAACATTTGAACGAAACTATATAACTTTGGAGGCCTGAAGGGATGTATATATTTCGCCCCATAACTTTTTACTTATATATATATATATATATATATATTTAAAATGTATGTAAACAATTAAACAATAATGTATGTAATTAATCAATTGACAATATGTTTTATATTGCAGTTTTATTTTAAAATTGGGTAACTTTTAATTAGTTTCTTTTTTCTTATATGCAATAATAAATAGTGATATGATAATTAAATATAAATACAAATTAGCTCGACAATAGACTTTAATTATTTTTGTGTGAAATAAATTAGGGGTTTCTCTGTATCACAGGCAGCTACGAGAAAGAAGTTCCATTGACATCTATGGCTTTGTTAAGTTTTGTGGGATAGTATTATACTCAACGATAGGCATCTATCAACTGTTACAGAAGCCAAAGGTTGTCAGAGAATGGAAACTAGGATCTGTGATTTACCCGACGATTTGCTCTTGCGTATCTTGCACCACGTCCCAACAAAAGATGCACTTGCAACTTCCATCTTGTCTAAACGATGGCGCTACGTCTGGACGATGCTGCCTACACTCGAGTTTATAGATGATGGCAGCGAGAGCGTTGGATGGTTTATTGAAAATTCATTGCAGCTCCATAAAGCACCGAAACTATATTGTTTGACTGTCGAAGTCGGTCCACGTTGTCCTGTTGACTTAGATGTGGGAAACTGGGTTGACAACGCAGTTAATAGAGGTGTGCGAGGTTTATTTTTGAAGCTCCTGTGGAACGCAGAGCCCACAAGCTTTCCTAAGTGCCTTTACACATGCGACACACTCGTTGCTTTAACTCTATCCAACCAGATTCTAGTGGATGTTTCTTTCCAGGCTCGCCTGCCATCTCTCTTAAGTCTTAATCTTAAATACGTGGTGTATAAAGACGAAGACTCTCTTGTTAGGCTCTTATCAAGCTCCCCTGTTCTCAAGGTGCTTCATGTGCATCGACATGAGGATGACAACTTGATAAACTTTACCGTGAAAGTTTCTTCCTTGAAAACATTACATTATGTGGCTACTTGGCGCAAGGATGGTAAGAAAGACAAGGTAGAGGGAGATGAATTCGAGGAAAATGATGTAGAGGATGATAATGTAGAAGAGGTTGAGGAAGATGATGGTTTCGATGAGATAGAGGAAGACGAGGTAGATGATGATGATGTGGATGAGGTTGACGACAATGTAGATGATGATGATGATGATGTAGATGAGGTTGAGGACGATGATGATTCCAATCCATCGTTGGTAATAGATTCCCCTGCTTTAACAAATTTGAAGTTAGATTACGATTGGGACTATTGCTTGATAGAGAATATGTCTTGCCTTGATGAGGCAAAACTTCACTATGTTCGTAACCCCAGTGACAAGTTTCTGAGATCTCTTTCTATAGAGAGATTATGAATGTAATAATGTTATTAATCAGAGGTTTATACATATATATACTAAGACTGAAGAGAACCCTAGACTTAAGCTAATTACAGCAAGATCCTTTACATAAATATTCCTTATACACCCCCTCAAGATGGAGGAACTGGTGTGACACCGATCTTGAACCGGGCATTGAGAAACTGTGGACGTGAGAGAGGCTTAGTGAGTGCATCGGCCAACTGGTCTTTGGATGAGACGTGAGAAACACGTAACATACCCGACTCGATTTGGTTCCTCGTGAAATGATAATCAAGCGCGATGTGTTTCATCCGAGAATGAAACACAGGATTAGCACAAAGGTAAGTGACACCGATGTTGTCACAATATATCACAGGTGGAGAGGAGACCTTGAAACCAAGCTCCGTGAGTAGAGAGCACAACCAACGTATTTCAGAGGCTGTATTCGCAACGGAACGATACTCAGCTTCGGTAGACGAACGTGCAACACCACGTTGTTTCTTAGAACTCCAGGATATTGGATTACGACCAAGATAGATAACATACGCATTAGTGGATACAAAATCATCAACATCACCAGCCCAGTCGGCGTCAGAGAAGGCATGAAGAACGAGAGGAGAAGAAGCACTGATAAAAATACCATGTGTTGTGGTGCCAACAAGATAACGTAAAACTCGCTTAGCAGCTTGCCAGTGTTGTTCAGTTGGACAATGCATGAACTGAGAGAGACGATTTACCGCATAGGAGATGTCGGGCCGTGTGAACGACAAATATTGGAGACTCCCAACAACAGACCGATATTGTGACGGATCAACAAGAGGGTTGCTACCATGTAGAGTGAGCTTCGGTGAAGTCGGTAACGGAGTCGAAACAGGTTTGGCGTCGTGCATATTGTTCTTGGTGAGTAGGTCAATGATGTATTTGCGTTGCATTAGATGGAGACCAGACTTGGAACGAGTCGCTTCGATGCCCAAGAAATAGCTGAGGTCCGTGGGGTCTTTGATAGAGAAACGTGCAGCAAAGGAGTGTAAAACTTGAGCAACAAGCGTGGGGTCATTTCCTGTCACAAGAATGTCATCCACATAAACAAGAACATAGACAATGGATGCACCATTTCGTTTGATGAATAAAGAAGTGTCTGCAAGAGAGTTGGTGAAGCCAGTGGTTAGAAGATGTTGTTTAAGAGACATATACCATGCACGTGGAGCTTGTTTGAGACCGTAGATAGGCTTGCGGAGACGACAAACATGATCGGGGCGGTCTTTGTCAACAAAACCTTGAGGTTGTACCATATAAACTTCCTCTGTCAAGTCACCTTGTAAGAAAGCATTATTAACATCTAATTGCTTGATACGCCAGTCATGTGCAACAGCAACATCAAGAACTAAACGAATCGTCGTAGACTTTATCACCGGACTAAAGGTCTCAGCATAGTCAACCCCATGTTTCTGATGAAATCCTTTTGCAACCAAGCGTGACTTATAGCGATTTAACTGACCATTAGGATGATACTTTGTTGTGAATACCCATCGAGAACCAATAACATTTTGCGTCGGCTGAGGCGGAACCAGATCCCACGAATGATTGGCCATTTGAGCATTATATTCATCGGACATGGAGTGGCGCCATTTTTCATCCTTAAGAGCTTGAATAACTGTAGCTGGTTCACGTGACTTCTTTTGAGCTGCAACATGAAGATTAAGTTTTGTTTTTGGTTTAGTGATGTTATTTTTGGCTCGGGTTTGCATTTTGTGGACATTTTGAGGTGGTTCACGGGGTTGTGGATTTTCTGGTTCTTGGGGCTGAGCTATTTGGGAATTTTCCGGCAAGGGAGGCCGAGATGTTTGGGTAGTGGAGGTTGTCAAGGAGGGTTGAGGCTGAATCGTGGGATGCGATTCATTTTTAGTGTGAGCAGTGGGCTCAGTGGAAGTAGAATGTGGCTGGGCCGGGGAATTAGGCCCATTTTGGTGAGCAGTGGGCTCAGGTTCATTAAGAGAGGAAGAAGAATGAAAAGAAGAAGAAGAAGAGTTAGAAGGCGATACCTGAGAAGATGAAGGCGACGAGTGGGAGGCAGAGGAGGCCGGCGAGTGAAGGTCCAAGTGCGGGGGTCCACTAGGCGACGAAGGAAACTGTGTTGGGAGGCGTATCGAAGAGACTACCGGCGACGGAGGTGATAACTCTGCTCCCGTATCAACATTCGCAGATTTAGAAGTCGGAGCAAACGGAAATGTCGTTTCATCAAACTGAACATGCCGTGAAGTATAAATGCGGCCTGTTGGTACATGTAGACAATAGTATGCACTCTGTGTGAGCGAGTACCCTAGAAACACACACGATTGAGAACGTGGCTGGAGTTTGTGATGTGTGTATGGCTTCAACCATGGGAAGCAAAGACATCCAAAGATTTTCAGCTTGCCATAGTTTGGATGAGCACTAAACAACTTGAAGAATGGAGTTTGATTTCCAAGCACCGGTGTTGCCAAACGATTAATGAGGTACACGGCTGTGGTAAAGGCATACGGCCAATACGTAGTCGGAATTGAAGCCGTGGAGAGTAGAGTGAGGCCTGTTTCAACGACATGACGGTGTTTGCGTTCAGCCATCCCGTTATGTTCCGGTGTGTGTGGTGGTGACGTCAGATGAGATATTCCTTGTGAGGTGAGAAAACCACGGAGTGCAATAAACTCACCGCCGTTATCAGAGAATAGTGTGCTTATAGATTGTTGAAACTTCTTCTCCACCAACAACTTAAAGGCAAGAAAAACCTCTTTAACATCAGACTTCCGCTTAAGAGGATACAACCAAGTATAACGAGTGAAGTGGTCAACAATAAGGAGATAGTATTTGTAATTATCAAAGGAGAGAACAGGGGATGTCCACACATCAGAATAGAGATACTCAAGAGGTCGAGTGGATAGAATGGTGTTTTGTGAAAAGGGGAGCTTATGACTTTTATTAAGAGAACAATCCGAACACGACAAATGTTTTTGAGTAGAACTCGAAACAGGAAGAGTAAAAGCAGAAAGCATTGTATGCAAAACAGAATTTGACGGGTGACCGAGACGAGAGTGCCACACGGAAACAGAAGCCTTTGGACTAGTAGACGTAGAAAGAGCTGTCGCTTGAGTCGGCGAGACCGGCCACTCATAAAGTTCAGCTCTAGTTCGGCCTTGAAGAAGTGGAACCCCCGTACTGAGATCCTTCACCTGAAACGAAGCGGGAAAGAATTCCACAGAAACACGATTAGCATTGCAAAGGCGATAGACAGAGATGAGATTTCTGTGAATGTCAGGAACACATAAAATTTTGTTCAAGTGAAGATCACGTGTTTGAGAGGGAAGAAATTTTGAACCAATATGTGTAATAGGTAGAGGTGAGCCATTAGCAACAACCACATCATCAGCTCCCGTATACGGCTCATGGAGAGACAAGGCACTTAAATCCGACGTCATGTGATGAGTAGCTCCGCTATCAAGGAGCCACGGGTTTGGATCATAGGAAGACCCAATAGCAACGTTAGCACGTGGCTGCCAAGGACGAAACGGGCTAGGTTGAGTCGAATAACCAGGCTGCATACGTGACTGAAATTGAGGACACCTTCTCGCACTATGTCCCTGTGTGTTGCAAATTTGGCATTTGCCTAAGTAGGGCTTTGAAACCCGATTCTGTTGAGAACGACCATCATATTGAGGCTGGTAGTTGGTCGTGTAACCAGTGGAGGCATTGTATTGCTTTTGGTTGTTGTTGTAGTGTTGACCGCTGCGGTTGTTGTTGTTGTTGTTGTTGTGACGCTGAGCAACATTAGCACTAGCTGGAACCAGTGACGAGGAAGCAGCCTTGGAAAGAAGTCTGGCCTCATGGTTGCGAAGTCGTTCATGGACATAGGCAATGGAAGGAGACGTGTCTCTACACGCAACTTGATCAATGATAGGCTGGTAATCCTCAGGCAAGCCATTAAGAATGGTCTCGATCTGGTCATCATGCGCCGGTAAACTGTCAAGAGCCGCCAAAGTATCAAACCGTGTCGTGACGCCATGCATATACTCATCAATAGTACGGGTACCTTTGGTCCAGACCTTGAGTTGATCCTTGATCTGACGAGCATGACCACGACTTGCCTTTCCATATGTTTCAGCTAGAGTAGACCAGATCTCTGCAGTAGTGGTGGTACGAGAGAGAACCGACTGAACAGAAGGAGAAACCGACCCGAAAATAGCACTGTAAAGGAGACGATCTTGGCGTGTCCAGATGATAAAATCTGGGTTTCGAGAGACCACAGTAGCAACTGTGACTGTAGAGGGAGGGATCTGAGAAGTCCCATCAAGATACCCAACAAGACCGTAGCCATCAATGAGGGCATGAACTTGGAGTTTCCACAGAAGGTAGTTGGTTGTCGTGAGTTTGGTAATGTTTGTCGTGTTGATATGAAGAAGAGTTTGGTTGTTAGGTGTTGTTACAACAGTTTCAGCGCCATTAATGGAGGTTTCATGTGAGATCGACATGATGATGACGAACAAAAGAGAAAGAAGATGACGGCGAAATGTTTTTTTTTTTTTTTAGGTTAGAGGAGCGTACTGCTCTGATACCATATAGAGAGATTATGAATGTAATAATGTTATTAATCAGAGGTTTATACATATATATACTAAGACTGAAGAGAACCCTAGACTTAAGCTAATTACAGCAAGATCCTTTACATAAATATTCCTTATACTTTCTTCCGTCATACATCTGCACTTGTATTTGACCAAACCAATGGTAGCGATATTACATATCTCCGGTCCTCTTCTCTGTTCCTTGTTGTCTAAGTCAACTAATGTTATATATATATATTTGTTTTCTATCACAGGCTGCGTGGTGTAACAGCAGTAACACCATCACGTTCTCTCGGCTTATAGAGTTATATTTTTTTCCAAATTATTCGGTAGATTGGTTGGAACCACTTATTTTTCTGCTACAAAACTCACCTAAACTAAAAACTCTTACGATTGACACTGTAAGTACACCATTATCATCTCCCTGAAACACAAGTGCATCTAGTTTTGATGTACTAAACATTAAAGCAAATCTACTGATATCAGGATTCCGCGTGTCTCCCACCTTCCTGGAACCAGCCGAGTTCTACTCCCGAATGCTTGTCGTCTCATTTAGAGATCTTTAGGTTGGGAGAGTATGAAGGAAGAGAATATGAGAAACAACTAGTCACATACATTCTCGCAAACTCAAAGTGTTTAAAGACAGTGGAGATCTCCCTCTTACCAACCTGCAACCTTGAAGAGACACGACAGGAGTTAGAATCCGTGCCTAGGATTTCAACATCATCTCAACTTCTAATCTCCACTCAAATGGAATGGAGCTTTAACGGAATAACACAGACTTGATATATTACTAGTACTAATTTACATGTTTAAGTAGCTAAGGCTATCATTTAATGATTTCTTTTACTTAAATTACTAGGTTATGAGTTCACCAATAGAGTTTTCATATATATTCTTTCGTTTTTAACATCGTGAAAATAGTTGAATAGCCACATAATGACTGTCTCAGATTATGATAGTAAGGTTCTTCTTTCTGAGTACAACTTTGTTTAGAGGATTTCATCTTAATGTCAAGCCTAGACATATATAAATGAAGCCCAAAGCCAGCAACAACCATCAGTTTACCCTTTAGTGAGCTTGTTCATGTAACGAGGACTGTGCTTAAATATCATAACTTAGGGGTCGATGACTACCATCTCTTGAAAAAATGGACCAAAAGTGATTGAGATTATTAATATTATAAAGTTTTAGATATTATAAATATCTTGAAAGTTTTAAAAAGTTTAAGTGTTATTAAAATTTTAACTCTACACCAAGTTTAAACTAACGTATGCCATATTTTAAACATGGTTTGATTTAAAATTTCAGCGCTTATACGACGAAACATGATTGTAAGATATGACGAATTGTAAGACGGGTATAGTTGTTAATTACATAAAACGCTGAAGAGTCCGGTTATATATAGTGTAAAATATTTTAAACTTATTAAAAGTTTAAAAAAGGATTCGTAACTTTAATACAATGAAGTTTTTGCGGAAAAACATCTAAAAACTATAAAAAGTTGCTCTAAAATTTAGACAAACAGTCAAGGTCAGGAATCGAACTCACCGCCTCGCCCTCGCTTTACAAATTAAATATACTTGCACTGCCAACATAACATACCACACCAATCATTCACCGTAGCGACCACTTTATTTATATATATAGCAAAATTAATACGGGTCGGTGAGTTCTATTGTTGGTATTAATTATTTATTTAAATACACAAAATCACAATACGGGTCAAATATTTTCTGAAGTGAAAAGATAAATGGAAGAAGAATTACCCAATTTAGAGTTTGTAAATTACAAGAAATCTATTGAATAATATAAAAAAAAAGAATACTAATTCCAAATAATTACATGTAAATGCCTCTTGAGATGGTATAAAGTAAGCTCAGGAATCTCCATAATCCTCATCAAATCCTTACGCGTCACTTCTAAAATCACACATAACAGAGAAACGAAAAAATTGAAAAACCAATCAAAAAATGAACATATATAAGACCAAACCACAAAATATTATGATCTAATTTCCAAATAAATATTAGACTAATCACATGTATACTTGATGGAGTTTGCTTTTCCTCTCTTGGTCTTCAAATATGAATCCCCACACCATATTATGGAAACATGAGTGGGGTTGTGCTTTTTATTGTTGGAAAAAGTTGATGATCGTTCTTTTTTCTTTTCACATGAAAGCTAGGAGAGTTTTCTGGTTGTTCTCTTTTCATCTTCTTTTGCTTCATCAGTTCCTCTGGTTTTAACTTCATTATATGTAGCTGGTTTGATCTCCTCATAACTCCACCACCTATTAGTTTCTGCTTCTATGCACTCCGGTGAAGTCAACACGAGCTGTCAACTGAATTTCCCGTTCTGCTTTCTGGTTTCTTGAGTCCCAAGAAACCTTCCTCTTCATCTGCTTGCGTTTAGATTGAGATCTTGACATTAAGTATCGATTTGAGGCCATATTAGATTGAGAATTTCAATATCAGTAACAATGCAATTACATAGCCAACAATTGCAAGTATAGGAGAATAGGATTGCGAATTTTGAAGTTTCAAAGAAACAAAAAATTTATTTGCGTAGCAAATTCAAGATCAAACGAATAACGATATTAGGTTGAAGATTTCGATATTAAGAAACAATGAGAAATCATCTTATTTTGTATACACTAAAATTTATACTCTTAGTGTGAAGAAAGTTGTAATATGAAATTAATATGAAATACTCTTAAACAAAGTTGTACTGAGAAAGAAGAACCTTACTATCATAATCTGAGACAGTTATTATGTGGCAATTCAACTATTTTCACGATGTTAAAAACGAAAGAATATATATGAAAACTCTATTGGAGAACTCATAACCTAGTAATTTTAGTAAAAGAAATCATTAAATGATAGCCTTAGCTACTTAAACATGTAAATTAGTACTAGTAATATATCAAGACAATGTCATTCCGTTAAACCTCCATTCCATTTGAGTGGAGATTAGAAGTTGAGATGATGTAGAAATCCTAGGCATAGACTCTAACTCCTGTCGTGTCTCTTCAAGATTGCAGGTTGGTAAGAGGGAGATCTCCACTGTCTTTAAACACTTTGAGTTTGCGAGAATGTAGTCCAATAGTTGTTTCTCATATTGTCTTCCTCTATAGTCCTTCCACCTCAATATCTCTAGATGAGACAACAAGCATCCTGGAATAGAACTCGGCTGGTTCCAGGAAAGTGGGAGATCTCTGGAATCCTGGCATAAATACTTTAATGGTAAGTTCATCAAAACTAGATGTGCTTTGTGTTTAAGGGAGGATGGTATACTTACATTTCGAATCGTAAGAGTTTCTAGTTTAGGAGAATTTTGAAGCAAAAACATAAGTGGATCCAACCAATCTACCAAATTATCTGGAAAGAAGTACAGCTCTATAAGCCGAGGGAACTTGATGGCGTTACAGCACGCAACCTGTGATATGACAAATAAATAACATTAGTTGACTCAGCAATAAGGAACAAAAGAAGAAGAACAGGGATGTGTAATCGCTACCATTGATTTGATAAATAATAAGTGCAGATGTACGACCGAAGAAAGAGATCTCAAAAACTTCTCATCGGGGTTATGAGCATAATAGATGTATGCCACATCAATGCAAGGCATATTCTCTGTCAAGCAATAGCCTTCGCAGCCTTTGCAAACGTCAGTTAAGTCCAGCTGTGTTAATGCAGGGGAGTCTATTACCAACGATTCAGTTAGATTATCATCATCATCCTCTACCTCATTGACCACATCCTCATCAAAGTCTACCTCATTATCACCTACCTCATCCTCATCAAAGTCTACATCATCAATCTCAATACCCTCGACCTCATTATTGTGCCAAGTACGATGATAAAATAATATTTTTAAGGAAGAAACTTTCACGGTAAAGTTCTTCAAGTTGTCATTCACATGGCGACTCACCATCAGGCACTCGAGAACAGGGGAGATTGATAAAAGCCTAACAAGAGAGTCTTCGTCTTTATACACCACGTAGTTAAGATCAAGCTTTAAGAGAGATGGTAGGCGAGCCTGGTAAGAAACATCCACTAGAATCTGGTTGGATAGAGTTAAAGCAACGAGTGTGTCGCATGTGTAAAGGCCCTTAGGAAAGCTTGTGGGCTCTGCGTTCCACAGGAGATTGAAATCTAACCCTAGCACACCTCTATTAACTGCGTTCTCAACCCACTTTCCAACATCTAAGTCAACAGGACAGCGTGGACCGACTTCGACAATCAAACAATCTAGTTTCGGTGCCTTATGGAGTTGCAATGAGTTTTCAATAAACCATCCAACGCTCTCGCTGCCATCGTCTTTGAACTCGAGTGTAGGCAGCATCGTCCAGACATAACGCCATCGTTTAGACAGGATTGAAGTGGCGACTGCATCTTTTGTTGGGACATGGTCCAAGATCCCCAAGAGCAAATCGTCGGGTAAATCACAAATCCTAGTTTCAATTCTCTGACAACCTTTGGTTTCTGTAACAGTTGATAGATGCTTATCGTTGCTTATAATAATATCCCACAAAAAGGACCAACAACTTAACAAACTCATCGATGTCAATGGAATTTTTTATGATTAAATTAAAGTTTTGAAACACTTAAATCATGTTTTATTTTTCTTGTCCAACTGTGAACCCCATAAGAAGTTCTAAAACAATTTTTTTCTTGTGGCTTTGAGAGAGTAACGTGGATCCCCTTCATTTTTCTCTTTCTTCAACAGTTTTTAACCACTAAAAAGGAGACATGTGGTTTAAGAGACAGCTCCTTAAACCCCTATTCGAAGAATCGCTCCTTCACAATTATCAGCATTTTCATTTATTTTTAATCACCATAGTCTCTAATTTTTGTTTAAGAATCTCCCTTTGGAGATGGTCTAATATCCCACAAAAAGGACCAACAACTTAACAAACTCATCGATGTGATAATACTATTCCTTATTCACCTTAATGGCCAGTACGTAGAACCAAACCTCTTCACTTCTTTCTTGTCGTTGCGATCTCTTATATTTATGTATATATATACCGTTTTCCAAAATAATCTTAAATTTATGTTTTTTATTTCCCTCTTTGATATAAAATATAAAGTAAAATACACGATTTTGGAAAATACAAAAAGGCAAAAGATTTGAAAAACGTGTTGTAGAAGATAGTTAAGAAAAGAGAAGAGAAGAGAGAGTTAGGGTAAGTGGAGAAGAAAAGGCCAAATCCCTATAGAATCTATATATAATAGCAAACCCACTTTTTGTGTATTGCTGATGTCATCTTTTAAATCTAACGGTTCAGATTGTTTTTCATTTGATGTAAAGGTTATTGTTTAATCTCAATATATATAAAAGCAAAAAATGTGTCTTTTTAAAAGGATTTGTCTTTTAATTGTGTCTTTTTAAAAAGATGTGTCTTTTAATAAAAAATACCCATGTAATTTAATCTATGCAATGTTTCACAATCACACTCTTTCATTCCATATATAAATATTCTACATCTTGATTGTTTTGTTTTAATTTATTTACAAATTTATTTTCCTGAAACAATTGTTTATTCAAATTTTGTTTTTCCAATCCTATTTGACTTTAAATTTGCTTAGCCATTATTATCTAAAGGTATTAATTGTTATTACCTTTTCGTGAATTCTCAAACCCACTTTATATGATTGCTGAGATCATCGTTTTAATCTAATGGATGAGATTGTTCCCGTTATGTCATCTAACTGGTTATATTTGTTAATGATCCCAAAAGTTGCAAAGTTTTATACCCAACAATTGTGTGTATTCGTCGTACCCTAGCTTAAAATTTTTGCACATGTTATATTTTCACACCTCTTTGTTTGTATATATAGATTTCTGTGGATCTTGAAAATAAATTTTGTTTCTCTAAGTATTGTTTCTTTGAGTATTGTTTCACACCTCCGAGATTAAAAAATCTGAATATTCTTTTTTCGATTTATTAGTCTTCATTGATTAACGATCTTCGTTTAAATATGACTGATTTATTTATTGATTTCCTTATTCAACCTTTGTTTGGTGTCGTTTTCCATCTTATACATGCATTGATCATATCTTCAATGTATTGATCTAGGTAATTAATTTTGACTATCAGCCTACTTATTATTTTTTTGTAAATTTCAATAGAATAATGATTTGAAATTTGCTTTATATGAATACCTTTCATATATCTTGTTAACATTGTTCTTTTCTTGTCACTAAATCGATTTCTGTATTTGCAACAAAATTATTAATTGATTAATTTAACTTCAAAAAGGTATAAAACTCATATAAAATGTAGTAACATGGCCATAGATTTACACTCAAACATCATCTGGTTTGTTTTGTTTCATCTTCCTCATTTTATTTTATATTTTGATAAGCCTTTAAACTTATAATTTCTACTCCCTTTTTTATTG